ACTTACCAGAAAAAGCATCGGCTATTTTGGGCTGCATTTTATGTACTTCTATCAATGATTCAGACCATTTATTTAAATCAGTTTTATGGTGTCTTTTCATATGTCGATTACAATTTGAAGTCACATGAATCTTATCCCAAACTATTGAGTGACATAATGAGCACCAACGATCACCACCGAATTTTTCATCAATAAAAAATTTTTTGACCAACTTTTTCTCGATATAGCCAGAGCTATTCTCAGAATTCGTAGTTGACAATGCCATGTTTTGATTATGTTTAAAAATAAGACAAAATTTTTGTACTGAAAACGTATTTGTAAAGTGTTAAGTTTATAAATGAAACAATACGCGAATGTATTATATATATAGATATATATGTAGGTGTATAACTGTTCTGTTATATCTCTCTATTGTTATTTATTAGTCTGCTAGCCGATATTAGTCCCCAACAGCAAAAATAATTCAGTATTCTAATTAGACAATTGCCATATTCATCGATGACCAACTTTAGTCATTATTGTATATTCAATATATCTTTGACAAAAAGAGACTAAGTTTTAAGATTAAACTGCCTCATTTTGAATAAGATAGATACAAATGGACTTGAAACGGACTTGAAAAGTAATCTCAAGTCCAAGTCCGTCAAAAAAGGCTTTAAGTCCGGACTTGGACTTGCCCACCTCTGCATTGAAGTTCTAAGGATGTTTTCCCTAAGGTACAACTGGTTATTGATGTTGTGAAGGTCAGCGTGAATCAGAGTTGCATTGTTTATAAACATCAGCAGGACTAACAAAGCACTGACAATAAGTAAAGTAACAATTAAGTTTTGAAACAAAATGAAGAATTTTGTCGTAGGAAGTTCTGTTTTATTCTAACTCCATTTTCAGCCAGAATTTACAGAAGGGTAACAGTGAACTAAATCTGTAACGTGCACAGAGGTAACGCTTTAGCTATCTGTCATCCATAAATGTTTCATAAATTCATTCTCTAAAGTTCTAGTTGCAGGATACCACGCTATTCTTCTGAGATGTCAGAATATCAGCACGCAGTGTATTCTCGAAAAACGGCTATTTTTTTTAAACTAGGTGGGCTTGGTGGGCTTGGTATATTCTCATCGACAATACACCAGAATACGCAAATATAGTGTCGCGGTCGGGGGGCGGGCGGTGCAGCATGAGAGTGAGCCACTATGCAACATTTCGTGGACGAGGATAAATTCGAAGTTGCATGTCGGAAATTCTTACATTGTGTATTCTCGTGTATTGTCAATCAGAGTACAGCAGGCTCACATCAATATATTACACTTTTTCAGTGATAGTCTCACAAATGCAACCAGTTGTGCGTACAAAGGTAATGGAAAACGAATACAAAGCCACCTTGAGTAACGATACAAATAACCAGTTGCTCATTCGGGAAAACATCCTTAGAACTCAATGCAAATAAATTCGTAAACCGTATCGGAACTTACACTCATAAGTTAAAATATGATGACTCGTTCTGACACCCTCAGAGAGTGGCAATAGCTCGTATTGATACCCTTAGAGCAAAGCCCTGCAGGTTGATCCTAACCTAACCTAACCTATAGGTTTGGTTAGGATTAGGCTGCAAAAGTTATAGGCTAGGCTAGGTTATAGGTTGTTCTATTTTTTTTTTCAATGGTTAGGTTAAGATTAGGTGGTCGAATCCATAGGTTAGGTTAGGATTGGGTTGTGAAATTTTTTATAGGTTAGGTTATAGATTGTCAAATATTGGCAACCTGCAGGGCTCTGCCTCAGAGAGTGGCAACAGCGCTACGCTTTTTTTTTTATTTCACCTTGTAGTTCTTCCTTTTTGTAATTGCGCATACACTAAATGATTCATTTCTAATGCCATCACCCACACAAATATCACCTAAAAACCAAGTCCTTAGTTTTTAGCGAGAAAATTTTGCGAACCATATAGCCTGATAGAGCGAAAAATTCTTAGCAAAATAAGACTTCCTCCGGCATTCTATAGCGCTTTTTCACGCAACTGCAGTCGATTTACCACTAGCCGCAAGACACGTCAAAGTTACCAAAAAAATCCGGTGAAAGAGCGCTGTGGAATGCTGGAAGCAGTCTTATTTTGCTCAGAAGTTTTCGCAGTACTGCTTAGATAACGCCCAAAAGTTTCTTTTCAATATCTTTAATGACAGGCCCCACCTGTCTGGATATTCTGACCAGCTCGCTTTGTAGAGCATTTCAAGGGCTATCCAATGGTATGTTTTCGAACAATACATAATTTTCATTATGGCAAAACGACCAACGGAATGTTGAAAGCACTAAGACAGGTCAAAATCATTACACAGGATCGTCACCGTGGAATAACCCACCCGCTTTTCACGGCTTTCCAGACAGTATTTCTAATGTGAAGATGCCCTACGACACTTTTCTCACCACTTCGTAAATACGAAATTGTAGCGCGGGAAATTCTCTATCGAATAGTATATGTATCGTCGTGGTTAGTCGAGAACTGTGGAGCACAGGATCGTCACCGCTGTCTGAGCCACCCACTTTTCGCGGCTTTTCGGACAGTATTGCTAATGTCAAGATGCCCTAGGACACCTTGTAGTGCCAGAAATTCTCTATGGAATGGTATCTGTGTCGTCGTAATTAGTGGACAAGTGTGGAGCACAAGATCACCACCGTGGACTAAGCCACCCACTTGCTACGTCTTTGCATAAAGTATGTCTAATGTCAACGTGCCCCAGGAAACCTTTCTCACTACTTCGTAAAATAGAATTGTCATTGATAGCATTGATGAGGCTGGAAAATCTAAATTTTGGGTAACTCGGGGACTTACGCTCGCCTCAATGTTTGTCTTACAGTTCTTTTGCAGATTTTCGGGATTTGTCTGGTGTTTATTATTCACCGGTGATCGTGACGCGATTCAGTTCAAAACATTATGACACCGTACAATTCTGAATGGTATCAAGAGATCTGCCTTATAGCTTAGCGTCTCATTATGGAGAAGAGGTATATCGGTACACACCACAATTTCTGAGTAAACTCTTTACACGCATCTCTATGCGTATGATAGATCGCAGTGGTATTCATAGTCGGACCGTCTGCCATATGCACCTCCAACACTCACCCCGTCGGAAACGAAAATTAGCCACGAAAAAACACTGAATCAATTGCTCTAAATTACGTCTCGTCCACGTCGCTAGTTACGTCGCTAGTTAATTACGTCGCTACCAATTGCCTTACCCGCCTCCTGTAAGCCTGGCGCTTCCAGTAGCACCTCCTGATAACGAACGCTATATTCAAGAGCCCTTCTAAGAGCTGTAAACCAGAAGTGATATTTCGTTACTCACTCTCATGCTCCCGGCCACACAAACTGTAAATATCTATGAGGCCTATAAAATGATCTGATTTTCCAAGTGCAAGAAAAAGCAGCTTTTATTGTCAGAAATGCCAATACCAGTTTTCGAGATGTAAATTCATGTCGTTTTGGATTCTTGAATGCAAAGTCAGTTATTTTTGCATTTCAGAATGCAAAATCACTTGTTTTTTGCATTTGAGGATGCAAAATGCCAAAAAAAGTGTAAAGTACAGGTTGCAGTTTTCTAAAAGGAAAATGTCACATGTGCCTCTTAGTCATTATGAGGCGTTGTTACATGCGACGACATTGCATCCTTTACCCGATTTCTAGTATCCCAAGCTGCCACTCAATGGGTATTTCGACGCGTCGATCTGAGCTATTCGATGGGTCGATAAACTTAGGAATTGTTCACCCATGGACGAACCCTCGATCTATCGGAAAGTGTCAATCCGAGAGGTCGATCTGGCACTTCGATACCCATCAGGGGACCTTTCTCGATGAGTTCCGATGGGTAAAATTCGCAGAGGCTCGAGCAATCGGTATTCCGAGTACTGGACTTGTAAATTTCAAAAAATTTAGAAATCGACTATTTCCGAAGGGCTCGATATTCGAACAGAACGGAAAAAAGATATATTTTGTCAAGATTCGACCACTCGGCGCACCCATCGTCAGCTTTTTTAGATCTGCTTGGGCAACTTCGAGCAATTTTGGTGTGTATCTCGCTTTTAATGAGCTTTATAAATCAAAGATTTAGTCCTTTTGACATAAGCAACATTAATTTCTGCAGTTAATGAGGAACAATAGTAATCATTTTTAGGTTTTCTGCCTTCGGATGTAAAATGGATCGGTTTAAGGGCGAAACTTCATCTCTTTGTCTATGTAACATTCTTAATTTTGTTAAAACATTGAAAATTTCATTCAAAAACATCAATTACGTTTTTTTATCACAACAATATTATCCCAGAATGCGTATCTTATCAGCCTTAAAAACTAAAGTGCAGAGTACTAATTTTTTCACTTTCACACTGCAAGAGGTGTTCTTTTTTCACAAAAATAATTGAGATTCCACTTTCAGAAGTCAAAGAGAGTGAGTAATATTGTGAAAAGAGATTAGATAAGAAGTAATTTCGTAAGGATTAGATTCTTGATTTGTTTCTATTTCTCTTTTCATTCAATTACTCTTTCATTTCAACTTTTCACTGAATTGAAACAGATCCCCTTTCGACATGGCAGGTGAGTTTACAACGTAAGAGGATGAATACAGTAGGAAGCACCATCTCTTGTATTGCTTTTCAGCGTTTATCGCTTTTGCAGTGGTCTTTTATAACTTCCCTAAAAAAATGCCGCACCTCTTGCTTTATGAGAGCTACTCCGATAGATGAGACTGATGAGGATGGAGACTAGAGGCTAATGAGTGAACAGATGTATTTGCGAATGCAAAAGAAAAACATACATGTGAACAAAAACTAGACACAATCAAACAGACGTGCGCGATTACAATTACAAAATGTAAAGTTCAAACATTGCTATTATCTGTAGAATTAAGAATTCTAGAATTATGAACTTTACATGTATGTAAAGTTGAACTTTACTTGTTCAGAATTTTCTAAAATTCTGAATTCTAGGGGTGAATGTGGGGGAGAGGGTGAGGATGAGTGTGAATAAGCAACTTTACATGTATGTAAAGTTCATGATTCTACAGATAATAGCAATGTATGAAGTTTACATTTTGTAATTGTAATCGCGCAGCGCTCCAACCAAATGAAAGAAGACGAAAATAGAAGGAGACCACAGACAAGAGAAAGAAGAGAGAACAAAGGAATGAGTAAGAACCAATGAGAAGACACGTTGGCGATGACAGGAAGGAGAGAGGTCGTCAAGCAATTTGTGTTTCGAGAAATCTGTATTTCGTGCAGAAGCTCATTTTCATTAAGTGCCTTCAGTGACGGATGATGCTTGTAATTCTTCAGTGGGCTTCAATTCAAAATAGGCTTGTGCACGGAATACAGACACATCGAACCGCAAAACAAGAAATGCAAGATTTTTCAATGACATTATAGAAGACTCTTTCAAAATTTTTAAATGCTAAGTGCTATACAAGACCCAGCTCTTCTATTATGTCCATCCTTTTACTATCACTTCATTCAATCAACTCGAATCATTAACTGACATTTTTTTCTTTTCTACCATTCAGCTCGTCTGCTCTTTCTCTCTATTCTACTAACATTGATTGTTGGCTCAAGTTCACAAACATCACCAGCTTTTCGTGTAGTAGCATTCTATACAGGTCAAAATGACGCTGCACATATTAGTTTTGTAAAAGAAGCAAATACTTGGTTTCCACGTATGGCACAACAGCACAATTTTCAGTATACATCAACATCAAATTGGGCTAATTTAAATGATCAATATCTCTCACAATATCAAGTTATTATATTCTTAGATACACGTCCTGAGAACGCACAACAGAGAGCAGCATTTGAAAAATATATGAAAAATGGTGGTAGTTGGATGGGTTTTCATTTTTCGGCTTTTGCATTGACACCCTCTACCTATAATCAAAATTGGGATTGGTATCACAAGACATTCCTCGGCTCTGATCAGTACGTGAGCAACACGTGGCGACCAACATCAGCTATTTTAAAAGTTGAAAATCGTACTCATCCAGCTACGAAAAATTTGCCTGCGACCTTTTCCTCCTCACCAAATGAATGGTATCGTTGGAAATTAGATCTAACGAAGAATGCTGACATTCAAATTCTTCTTTCAATAGACCCAAAAAGTTTTCCACTTGGTACTGGACCAAAACCACATGAAATATGGCATTCAGGATATTTTCCAGTTGTTTGGTCGAATAGAAAATTTAAGATGATCTACTTGAACATGGGTCACAATGATATGGACTATGGTGGAACGAATCAGGCCTTGTCTCAAACTTTCAACAATGTACAAACGGAAAAGTTGGTTTTGGATTCATTACTTTGGCTCAGTAAAAAACGTTAAAAAGCACTTTGCATTCTTCATCGACAGTGTTCTTAATCATCTATCAAAGCTCGGACGTGTCCACGCCTTTTTAATATATAATAAATAATCAGCAAATAGATTTTAGGCGCGGGGGGGGGGGGGGGGGTTGAAACAAATTATAAGGGAGGGTTATTTGGATGGTCTGCCGCCAATTGCAAAAAGGCAGAAAACCGGAGGTACGCCGGGTT